GTTACGTTACAGTTACAGACGGAGAGAAAGTAACGAGGTTAGAGTTACCAAAAATAAAGTAACTAACTGTAACTTCGTTACAAGTAACGAGTTACCTCCCAACCCTGGATACAACCAACGTAGAACCGACCTTAAGCCTCGCATCCACGGCGCTAGAAATTGATCCGAGATCTCGATCCAAGAATTGTGTAACCACTTAACCGCAGCTTTTCTGTAAAAGATGCAAGTTAATTGTCTTCTCGGATCGAAATCTCGAACTCACTTCTAGCATTGTGCACACAAGGCTTTAGGTCGGTATTTCTAGTTCGTTCTTTTAAAACAGTAGGCCCGTGTCTGTCTCTCTTGCTAGCATTTCATTGGCAGCGGTTGGTAGTGGAAGGACACAAGGACCAATGGGATGCTAGCAAGAGAGACAGACATAGGCCCACTGTGTTTCTTCTCTCTCTCTCTTTCTCTATAGTATACCAGGCGGCGACCGTTTGCTACGACGTTCACGTCGCTCGTCAACGGACAACGCGCGCCGCGGTAAGTAGATCTTGAACGCATTTCTTGGAATAAATAATACGGTAGGCATCGCGCGTCCATTCGCGCGCGCCGGACATCTCGCGTGTACAAACGAACAGACGGGCGCGCCCGATCGAGCGTAATTTATCGAAGCGCGAAGTGTGCCGTGCGAGTCGCGTCGCGTACAAGAAGCGGGAGCGCGAGGCGCGGACGTACTTATCCCCGGGAGTGTCGAATCGTGCCGATTGTCACAGTCCCGCGAGTGGTTGCAGTTCCGCGAGTGTCGCGCTACTCGAGGAAGGTCGCCGCGAAGATTGTCCGCGCGCGCGTTTACGGGCACTCGGAGCGCCGACGAGCACGGCGCCGGCAGTCGCGCGGCGGAGCAAGATGGCGCCGAGGAGTCCACGCGCGCTTCGCATTCGGCGTCTTCGAGACTCGAAGCGAACGAGTCAGCGAGCGGCGCGAGATGGAATTTCTGCTCCGCCGCCGGGACGTCGTCGAACGAGGAAAGAGGAAGAAAGCGTCGGACGAGGTAAGATAACGCGAGGCGAAGTATTTATCGGTAGTAAGTTATCGTCTCGAAGGGAGGGACGATATCATCGGGGGGGGGGGGGGGAGGAGGATTGCGCAAACATTTCCCGGGGGCACGCGAATGAACAGCCGCGTATCTAAACACGATGAGCGGAATTATGCGCAAACATCTCGTACGACAACACTGTGGCCGCGCGCGCGCGACGTACTCGGGCGGGAAAGAGTTAACGTTCTCGCGAAAGTATCAATATGTATAAGGGCGGCCGCGCCGGAGTCACCCCCGCGGTAGACGTAACGAGTCATGAATTATGAATCGCGACGGGGAGCGCGAAGCGCGTTCTCTCTATTTCCCCGCGGCGGGCCTGCCGGCGAGAGGACGAAAGTGAAAGCCCGCGGTGTATCGAGAATTAATGGACGCCTAGGCCGCGATTACCGCCGCGCAAATATTTCCCCGCGACGGATAATTAAGGGTCTCGTCCGAGTCGCGGGCCCTCGCGCGAATCTGTTCGCCCTCCTCCCGAAATCGCGGATCCGGATCGCTACGCGATAACACGCGCCCTCGGAGAGGGTTAATATTTCAGAAAACATTGTTGCAATGTTGCAATGTTTCTGAAATGTTTCTGAAAGCTTCGGTGCTGTATGGGATTTCTGTTACCGAGACAAAAATATTTTTGACGCATTTATATGTCTCGCAACCTCGTTTAGTATAAAAATAAGGCAGTATCAAAATAAAATCAATAATTCGTAGTCTCCTCTATCGAATGGAAAAAAGATTGACTTACTATATTGAGACAAGAGTAACTTGTTGTTTTTGCGTTTAGAATAAATTTTCCCTCCAACTTACAACGCACGAAATTGCCACCACGATATTCGACAAAAGACGATACGTGCTATCATTTTATTCTAGATTTTAGAATTTTTTTATTTAAGATTAAAATATTCCTTTCTCTACAATAAATATGATTGGCGCTATATCGATCCTATTTTATGATACATTGAAATGTAATAGCGTTGGGTCCGGAAATTTTTTCTGTGGGTGCATCCTCAGAAAAGATTTCTCTTACTGAGACAAAAAATATTCTTGACGCATTTATATTTCTCACAACCTCATTTAGTATAAAAATAAGACGATATCAAAATAAAATCAATATTTCTTATTCTTCTCTATCGAATTAAAAAAGATTGACTTACTATATTGAGACAAGATTAACTTATATAAATGTAAGTTTCTACATGTATTCTTGCGTTTAGAATAAGTTTTCCCTCCATCTTACAACGCACAAAGTTGGCATCACGATATTCGACAAAAGACGATACGTACTATTATTTTATTCTGGATATAAAAATTTTTTATTTAAGATTAAAATGTCCCTTTCTCTATAATAAATATGATTGGCGCTATTTCGATCCTATTTTATGATACATTCAAGTGCAACAGCATGGGATCAGGAAATTTTTTCTGCGCGATAACGAGACAACCCTAGTAGCACAATATATTGGCGCGATATTGGGAAATAATGTAAATGTAGCATTCCCAATGTTGGTCCAATATTGTAAGATGGACGCGATCTCTTATTTAGCCAATATGTCTATTTAGCAATATTGGTTTAATATTGTATCAATATTAGACCAATATTCTTATTACGTTGTTAAATATTGGCCAATGCACTTCCAATATAGATCTAATATTATATAATTATTATCGTCCAATATTTACATTTATTCCATGGCCAATATTGGTTGAACAATATCGGCCAATGCATTTCTGATATAGCCAACATTGGACCAATATTTAGCCAATGTTTAGCCAATGCACTAATGCTACCAGGGGATGAGCGGGAGATAAGAACGATATCGTGCGGTATTAAAGCTTAATCTACAATGTGCTTTCTGCGTCTAGTAACATTCTACTTTACACGAACAAATCAAAACGCTTAAAAAATTTGTCGACAACGTGTATTATACAATTCATCAACTTGCACAAATTTTTTAAACGCGTTTATTGACTACAAAGTAGAATGCTTCTGGACGCAGAGAGCACATTGTTAGATTAGGCTTAAAATGGAACGGTAGTAACATTTGACCGACACCTAATACTTCGGCCTTTTAGATTCGTGCGACCGTCGCGTCGCTCTGTTACTCAGATGTCGTTAACGTCCACAACGTAAATGCAACGTTAATGCAACGTAACGGTAAAGGCTATTCTACAATTGCGTAAACGTGGTTGTTAGCGGTTGTACAGTGTTGTAAAACACAGTTTTAAACTAGCATTTCCGATTGTAAAGCCTGTTGTAAAAGATGGCTGAACTTGATCTTCCACGACTACAACGATACAGGACGTAAAAGCTAACTAATCATTCATTTCAATTACGACGTATCTCACTCTATTGTATATTACTTTGATGTACAACACTTACTACTATTTCTACTCCTACAACCCTACAACTACGTTTACGCAATTGTAGAATGGCCTTTATATCATACTCCGAGGTTTTAATATTTTATGCGCTTTAATTGGTAACGAATGCGTTTCTAGCGACGTAACGTTTTTAAATCCGATCGCGACGTAGAGTATTCCCATGAAAATTTCCGCTAACACATTTCCCTTCCCCTCGCCCCGGTTCTTCGGGACGTAAAAAAGGACACGGGGCAAATGTTTAAGAACAAATACGGCTGTTAATTAAATACAGTGAAAACAAAATTCACAAGTTATCGGACTCTTTGCTGGAGTGTAATAATATTGATCTTATCAATTTTTTCAAATCGGAATATTTTCCGGTCCTAGTTTTTATAAATCTTTAATATCTCGTATCCCCTGGCGGCCGATACGTTTAATCGATGTTGTACAACACGAATTGTCAATATTATATTGTCTGCATAAACGTCACAAATTCGTCCCCAATTAACTAACGCATTCTTTCTCCCCTATTCTCCCTCTCTCTGTCTCTGTTTGTCTCGCTCACAGTCGATAATATTTAGCAATTTGATTCAAATTTACATATACAACGTTTGGATTAAATTAATTCTCTCATTGTATTTCTATTTTCTTATAATTCTATTAATATTTTCATCAATCGTCCTACCATTCGTTGACTCTGCCCCGTCGACCGATGCCATTTATCGGTACGCAAGTTCTCCCCATTTTGAGATTCACTCTATCGATAAGCTCTTCGTTTATTATATCAGTAGCCGGTAAAACGAAAGTTTTATTCCTCGTTAGTACAAATCTGAACAAAACATTTTAGAAAGTGTCGAGTTCCGGAAGCAATAAATATTCAGTAAACTTGTATTATTACGTTTAGATGAAAGTTTCTTGAAAAGCACCGAGCTTTCAGTCGGAAACTAAAAAACTGCATTTGTCGGTGCAAAAAACGACAGACACGTCAAGTTGAAATTATTGAAGATAATTAATGTACAATAATGCAATATTATAGTCGCGATTTGAAAGCAGTGAGGCGTTAAAACGCACACTCGTAGGACTGATTTTACCAACGTGAACTGGCGCTAATTAATTAATTAAATAACGCTCTTGTACAGCATTACGAATCTAATAGCGAATTCGGTTGCGTGCACTAGTGTACACTGCGTGCACACTAAGGCTTGTTTACAGTCAATTCTCATATTTGCGGACCGTCTTAAATGTCTCTTGAAATATTTAGTCAGTAAAATGATCTGTATAGCATCAATACGGATCGCTTTGTGGCTAAACGCTCTTCGAACATGCATTTAAGGCAAAGTTAAATGTCAAAATTGACTGTAAACAGTTAAGTGCGCGCCCCGGTGCGCGCCAGTGCAGGCAATCGAATTCGCTGCAAGAGAGCAGTTGGGTTCGAACATTGGCGAGGGTTACGCGACGTTGGTAGAATCGTACCGATGCAAGAATTCTACGTTATCAGCCTCGTTGCCGGGCCATCCTTGAAACAATCCGTGCCAGAGGACGCCCGGCGCCGGGTTGCCCGTTCGGCGAGGGTTGCCGGGGCGCAGGAGCACGAACGTCGTCCTCCGGGTTGCCGTCCGGCAGGAGTTCAGTCGGTGCCGGTCGGTCCCGAGAGTCGTTCATACCTTGCGGGACGCAAAAATCTAAGATGGCAAGAGACATGTACATTTGATAGAATGGTCCACTCGACAAGAGAAAGAGCCAATTCGGTTTTAGCGTAACGCACGATAATGAGCGAGTGAAAACGGAAAAAAAGAGAGGAAGAGAGAGAGAAAGAGAAAGAGAGAGCGAGAGCGAGAGAAAGAGAGAGAGAGGGGGGGAGGGAGAGAAAGAAAGCGAGGGTCGCGATGAACGGATAGATATCGGTGCAACATCATCAGTCGCGCATCTTTCCGAGCGGGAGCGAGGGGTGCGATACTACCCTCTTCTCGCGCGGCACGCATAATCGCCGGGGAGAAGAGTGGCGGTTCGAGAGTGGACTACTAGTCGTGCTGCGACGGAAGTTGGGCGCTCTCAACGGTATGCCCGTGAGTCGCAACGCGAGATAAAGGTGAGCGATTAATATCAACTCCCGTTGCCCTGTCTGCCCCTACTGTGCTACCCGGAGGTATCGGGCATACCCGCACAATTTATCGAGGATGTTCAATTCCGTAGAAAATTAGTTTTCGAGCGTCACCGAAGAAATGAGAAATTTGTCGGTCGCACTCGTCGTCCTTTGTGTGAAATTAGTTGCGTTGGAAGAGATAAGAGATACAATGGAGAAGTGATTTTGAGCGAGATGTTCTTTCGCAGAGAGAAAAATATTTCGGGTATGAAGGAGAGAGAAAATCGTGCTTGATGTCTAAATGTTTCTAGTGTTAATCTCGTAGAACTGTTATTTTTTTTGGCTTGGACAATAGGAAGTAGGAAAGCATTTCTTTTTTATTGCCACGATCAGCGCTTTACAATGGTGCGTTGAGGCATTAGCGAATGTGAAGTTCTATAGTGAAGTTTGATAGAAAATTTGATAGTGGTTTAATGTAACGTGATTAAGTAGTAGTTTGAAGTAATTGTCGTGTGTAGATAACAACACGTGAAATAAATTAGATTAATTAGATGATAAGAACGCAACGAAGAGTGGAAAACGTCTCACAGACTATTAAGCTGAAACGATTGCGAAAATAGGGAAAGATATCATGGTAAGTCTGTGAATTTCGAATAAGGAAATAATAAAGGAGATGAAAGAATAAAAGTTTGAAGTATTGGTGAAAGGTTGTCCTTAGTTGATTTTAACTTCCAGTATGAATGGAGAAACGGGAGCCGAGAGGAATACTTTTCTCGATAAGCTCGGGGCGCAATGAATTCTTACAATTGAAAATGGTTGTAGCTTTTATCTGATGATTTATTAAAACGGATGAGACTTTCGTTCGGACTGATAAAATTAAGATTTCTCAGGACAAATGCGAGCAATTATGAACTAGTTGGATTATCATAAATAAAATGCTATTGCAGTAGAGGCTCAAAGACGATGATTAATCGATTATTTGTCTTTGTTTCGCATGATTAATCGACGGTCATTTATTAAACTTGAGATATAGACAAGGTTACGTGTGATTACGTGTAGCTCTAATATTTTCACAAGAAGGACTGCATACACGCCCAAAAATTCTAAATATACGACAATCGAAATAACGCGCAACATAATTACAATTCTAATATTTTCACGTATATGCAATATTCTTTGAATAAGGTAAAAATTTTAGTTGAGATAAATTAAGATTTTTTGCGACGCATTCTTGTCATAGACACGTGAAAAAATATTGCAAGAATGCGTTGGAATTTATTGTGAAAGGAAGATTGCGTTCTTACCCGTGTATGTATATTTTATATAAATACATACTTTATAATATTATACGCGTTTGATGACAAGCTCTCTGCTCGAGATGGCATAATTCGGATGCGTTTTGCAATTTTATGTAAAAAATATACCGTGTGTGTATGTAAAGTGTACATATGTCTATGTGCAGACGTTGCGTATATTTATATGCGATACGTGGGACAATGACATGTATTTTACGTAAGAATAGGGGATATATCGCGAAGGATGGTTTATTACAAGTTCGCCAGAGTATAAGCATGATAATATGGTATTCTCGCGAATTTTGTTTACAACTCCTAACGTTTGACTTCGAGCCTCCCGTGACTTTATATATCAAGGATTTTCGCGTTAGCGTCGAGGAAAGGAACGGGTTGAAGGGGATCAGCATAAATTTCACGATTTATTGCTGCTCACGAGATAGCCAAGTATTATCAAATTCGACTTAGCGACACACTCGGGGCTTTGTCCCGTCTGATTTATCAGCACGGGCATTCGGTGTAACGGGCCAGTTATCCCGTGGTTGTGTAGGGCTCTTAATATTCCCAGTGAAAGTAATTTAGGAAAATCCAATTAATTTTCCAATGGTAAAATATCGGCATCTGTCTTTCACTCGACGGACGGAGTGTTAATCCCTTTCCATCGATAATAACCGTCTCCCGTGCAGCAATCGCGTATACACTTATTGTAAGTTTAATTTGAGGATCGGCTTATCAAAAAGAAATTTGCGCGCGCATACATACAACATACATACACATCTAGTGCGTTTTATAATTACTAATTGGGTTTCTTAATATACGTGTATATAATTTCATTGTAATTATTTCGTGTATTTCCTTCTACAAAGGGAAGCACTTTGGAAAAGGAGAAATAATTAAATCAAGAAAGGTGCACGTCTCGACACAAGTCAATCATCTCAGAGCGCTATGAATGTTACATTTCTTGGATTCTCCGGTGTTTGCCTCTCGATCGTCCCGCTTTCGGAATTTGCCCCTTCAATTCAAGCTCGCGACCATAACGTAAATTAGACCAACTGGTCGGTCTATCGCGCGAAAAGTCGAGCGCCGCGTGCGACGAGCGCGTCGCCGGGAGGAAATTGTCGGATTCAGCCGGAAATTGCGAAATTCTCCGATAGCAGCGATCTCCAGGCTCAGTCGCGGGCTCTCGCGCGCCGCTCCTGTCTTTCCTCTCCCAGGATGTACGCATCGTATGGATCTTTCGTTCTGTAGCGAGGATTTCGTCTCGCGATTACGTCGTTTCGCTCCTCGATCGGTTTAATGAAGGTCCCGTCGATACCTTTCACGGAGATATCGAATCTTCAAAGAGCAGTCTCCGATCCTTTATCAGCGTCCCACGGACGCACTAGCGAGATCATGGCAGGCAGGATTGGAAAATCCTCTTCGCGGAGATAAGTCGAGAAGGAAGGAGAACTTTCTCGGGTGGCGCGGGTTGCTCACGTTATAGCGCGGCACATGATACGCAGCACATAGCTGCTTTTCGATAAGCTTATCGAGGTCAAAATATTTTTTTTGCGACGCATTTCGAATTCAAGGATTTGGGATCTTTTCGCACTTTTCACCTTTTGTCAACTAGAATGGTTCATGGTAATCTGTGACTTAATATTTTGATTCGGTAAAAATAAAAACTTGCTACAAAAATTCCGAATGTTGCGGTTGTTCAATGTAAAATTTTTTAATAGTATTTAATATATCTAAAATTAATCGGTTAGACTCGGGTCAATATTTACCGACTTTTTCACGACAGCTAGTGCAATCGATCGTTTCGCTAAAAAAGCTTTGAAAACCTAGTCGTTACAGGAAAAATGTATGCCTGTATGGGTAAAAGATCACAAAACGATTCGTTGCGCGTTTTCTTTCTTTTTTTTTTATTAAATATTCTGGAATCGTTGAATCCGTCTCATATAGGGCATCAGATTTCCCCGTTTGCTTACTCGTCGGAAAGGTCGATATTTCGAATAAAACCTCGCGGTAAGATATTTCCTTTTATTCTTTAGATAGGCACATGCATGTTAAAGAGAAACTGTTGATCTTTGAAAGACAGAAATATACAAATTAGTAAGAAATGCATTTTAGTTCTGTGGCCACAGACAGAATCGTTGAATGAAAAGTTGAAAAGTTTACCTTTATAATGTCCCAGCAAGGCCCAATCTAATGCCCAAAGAATGCCTATAGTAATGTCCAGTAATGCCGCAAATCTGTACACCACAATGCCCTCAGCGGTTTACCTATGGATTTTGTGGAGAGTAATATAACATAACTATTAACGAAGAGTATTTTTTAGACTTTATACACGTATATGTGTTTGGAACTGTATTATATTAAGAGATAAATGCACTTTTGTTCTCTCTCTCTCTCTCTCTCTCTCTCTCTCTCTCTCTCTCTCTGTCTCTCTGTCTCTCTGTCTCTCTGTCTCTCTCGGGTACTAGAAATATTATAAATCGCTAGACGAGGTTCCGTTTGAATGTTACATAATATCATGATTATTCATTCGCTCGTAATGTAGTCAGCTCTATATTTTGGACTTGACGTTCAATGCAACTTGTTAGGAGCGAGAGCGGAGACTACGACGATAGTGTTCCAATAAGTTTTCAACGCGAAATTGAAATCCTGCGAGCTGCGAGCGTAAACTCGTTACTTATTCGTCCGGAAGCGCCGTAACAGCGTTGCGCGAAACTCTCGGTCGGAATGGCATGGCGCGCTATATCCTCGATCGTTTAACGTGAGAGCGTGTTGGGCCCTATCGTGCTAGTTTCTCTCGTGGCCCGAAACTTAGGTCCGCTGCATCGACATGTCGCGTACCGTTTATCCTTCAATTTACGTTCCGGTGTCGTGTTCGTTTCGCCGAAATCGCATACGGAAAGGCAAATAGAACCAGCGCGGTTTGTTTAACTCTAATTTTATCGTGCATTTTCTTTTCGAGCCTTTAAAACTTCCAGCCGTACGCGTTTTCATGAATATACAATATTTTCTTAAATCTCTTAAATATTTTATATTTATACTTTGCGAGATTCGAGAAGAAAGTGCGTGGTAAAATTGTATGCATTGTCTAAAGAATAACTTAACATTGTATTTCAAAAATTTAATACTAGAATTTAACAATTTAATATTTTCAAAAATAAAATTCCGTGAAATTCAATAGATATCTTGACTCGTGAACAACAACTAATTTCTTATCGTATATTTTGTATCATATAACTGTTGAGATGTTTTTATATTAACGGTAAAAAATACAGACAAGAGAACACAGGCAAGATTACAAGACTGCGATTAAGTTTGTAAATATATCTATTTGATTTGTTGCAAGAAAACAGGAAACATGTTAGCATTGGACAAAATTCTCGATTTATCGTTGATCGTTTTGATCTCTTTCACGTTCACAAAGTTATGGATCGCGCTGCAAGGAGAATAAAGAAAAAGAAGAGAATCACGCGTCTCCGTTTTATATTATTAACAGAGTCATTCTTCGCCGAAAGCACGTGACCAGCATAATACCTAGTTGCACGTGCAATGCACGAGCATTTCCTTCCGGATGCATTGCAAAGCTGAAGTATTTCGTACTTTGTTAACGATCTTTCTTCCGGTATCTTGAATCACTGAAAAAAAATTGCTCGGAGTAATTGCGGCAAATTAATCCTAATGCGCCTCGGACAATCGGGAATAGTAGCATTTTATCCAAATTTGCTGTATTATATATATATATACACGAGTTATAGTTTTTAATAAATAAGACATTATTAATCCAGTGAAATAGCGCCACTGTCTCGACAATGAAAAAATCTCGCGGTGTCACTGGCGTGCATTTCGGTGCACGAGCAGTGCATCATGCCACAGTGATGCATGCGTAAATTCGATCCGGCCTGGAACAAGAGACGCTGCCACAAAGGCTCGTGAAATTCAAAATTGCGAACAAGAGATTCTCTTTTCCTCCACTCCTGTCTCCCCCTTGGCGTGTAATATCGTGCTCGTAAATGGGTATCAGGTTTACGTTGGGCTTTAAACCGAAGTTACAGACGGTTGAGGGAGAATTGCCCGTATCACATTTTTACGAGGACCCGATTGCTCCGAAAGCTTGCCCTGTCTGCAAATATAATTAGCGTCTTCGTGCACGAAAAGTAAATCAGAACGATAAGTAGTGACGCGGGGTTAACTGTAGCCGTGGCGTCTGTACGTTTCAGTCGTGTCCGCGATACAATAAATTTTTTCTGGGAGATATTCGTAAGGAGATTGTACGCGTTCAATGGCGCACGCCAAATCTTCATTTTGCGAAATTACTGGCTTTTCCCAATGGTAGACGATTAAATGATTCCCATCGGGCTGTTGCCCGAAGTCGTCATGCTGTGAGATTATACGAAACGATCCCCGCTTGATTAAATACTATACTTACGCGTATGCTTCCAATTATAAAGATATAAGAACACTTTAAAGACATGGATCTATCCACGCATTCGGTCTGTAATAATTTATTGTAATAATAAGAGTATTATTTCTTTAATTAATGTTATTTAATTTTATGTAATTGGTCAAATTCTTTCTCGCAAATGTGTAGTTTAAAATTTAGACAGACTTACACGTAATAAGAAATCAGTATGTAGCCTATAAGTAACAACTACTGAAAGTATTAATAATTTAGGTCTTTTGTACAAACTAATTTATTGTTATAATATATTATTTATTACAATATATTGCAAAGATTGATTATACGTGACTGATTGTTAGTGAAAAATAGTTGTCAATGATTATTTGATCTGGTCTGGACATCCCGAAGTCTCGTGAAATTCAAAGGTTGTGAACGAATTGATATTTACTAGAAAATTAATAGTTTCACCGTTAAAATCACAGTTTAATTCATAGTTTTAAAACACCTAATATTTGAATATCAAATACAAGTACATGTGTCAACATTAAATGTGCTTCAAAGTAGTATCAACCGCAAATATTAATTTTCTCCAGTTACAAACATGATGCCACCGATTGTATAAACAATGAACACGTGTACACATGATGTACTTTTGTAATCGGAAAAAACGATTGCAGTTTCATATCGCGCAGTCGGAATCTCGTTTATCTTTTGCGACGGGTTTTATATACCTGTGCGGAAAACAGGGACTATATTTACACGGCGGAATAAAAGAAATTGTATGACTGGCACGAACAGCTAGATGTTCCTACACGCGCCCTCGTACATGCACACTTTACGTATGTGTTACCGAAGATGAACGTAACAAAATAACGAAATATTTTGCAATTGGATTCTAGGTGGGACCGAAGGAACGAGCGTCTTATTCTGAAGGGAACAGCGGGAGACGGAAATATGGGAAAAGGAGACAAGAGAGGCGTTACACAGCGCAGCGACGGTGGTGAGTTTCTTTCATCTATGACTTGAAAATGCGTAGGGAGGGAAATGTAGCGGTAACACATGTCAAACGAATTAAATATTTTTATCGATTAAAAACGGACAATACTAACGCATAAAATTTCAGAAGAAAACAAAAAAATTGCCTAGCTTGTTTTTTTTTTAAAGATCGAAACGACCGCAAAAATATTTAAGTAGAGGGACTTTTCCGAGTTCCTTTAGCTAACAAAATTAGTGGTACGATATGTGTTACAATCGTTACACTTCCTTTGCAATTAGGATACTTTCTGCGAGATAAATACCTTTATCGTAGAAACCAAATTTGCGCTGTCTGATTAAAAGCGACCAATTTTCTTACTCTCTCGCTTGAAAGTCATTTGCTACGTCGGTTATTTTCGACCGCATTTCGCGATCCACCCACTTGACGTTCAAAATCGCGATCAAAGGAATCCCACAAACTGGAAACACGTTGCCACGCACGTAGAACGATCAGAGAACGTTTTGCCTGTCGATCGAGCCAGGTAAAGGTGACGTCGAACGATTGGAATTTCGATACGCGAATATCGTGTCTCGTACGTTATCGACGTTATCTCGGAAAAGGAATAGCACGTATTCGTATGTGTGTGTGTGTAGCGGAGGAATTGAATCGAAGAAGGAACAGGGCGGAAAGACCACACTGCGTACATTTGCGCTTCCACCCTTATTTTCCACTTCCCCGATACAAGGTACGTCGTCGCTGCGTTACCTGTCGTTGTTTGCTCGTTGCATATTTGCGACTACTCGCGTAAGAGATACCTCGATACCACGCGAGAGTGCTTGCTTGCCCTCTCGACTGTGCACACACTCGCGACATTGTTGTATCCCGGATTTCGGTGCAGTCGTGCTTTCCACTTCAGTGCTGTTTGTACCTCGATTTTGCGCGTAAGCCGTTTGTTAAAAGAATATAAAAAGAGAAATTCAACAGCGTAAAGATAATGCGGATAACGCAATGTAAATGGCAACAGATTTGCATCTTTGAATGACTTAACATAAAAAGTAAAATCAATTAATTGCGAAGGTGTCAATTAATTGTAAAGAATTAAAGATAGTAGTAAATTCAAATACAAATTTAAATATTTAAGAGTCTTACGTTAAAAATGGATCAATTATTAAACCAAGCGCGCGAATTAATTGCAATCTTATCACGATGTTATTAAGCTTGTTGTAAGAATATAATTTAAAAGTAGTAAATCTCTGAAATATTTTAATCATGCAAGTAGTTCACTCAGATGCGCACGTTCGCGAATAATATTGCATGGCTGAGTTCGTCGTAGTTTTACGTACGAGAGATACTTTGGAATGTTTTCCGGTACCGCTAGCTATTCGCTTTTGTTCATATTTTACGGATGAAAGAACTAGATTGGTGATAATATTTGCAAGAACAAAATTCAGAGACGATTCCAAACATATTAATTAAAGCCAAATTATAATATTAACAAATTAATCAGTCAGATTAATTAATAATTAATCATTATTCAAAATATATTTTAATATTAACAGCCCGACATACTTGATTTATTTCTCTGTAAGTTTATATTATATATAACACTGTATTATACAATATTATTATATAGTACGTTATTTATACGAAGGAAAGTTACTAAAGAACATGAAACTGTTTCTTGAAGACGTGGAATAATGATTTCTAATAAGATTTTTCTCGATATTAAATTATTAAATGGCCACGGGGGGAAGAAATGTAAAAAATTTAGATGCAGAAGAAACTTGTAATCGCGAACATAGAGTAGCCAAGAAACCGCCCGAAACTTTGACGCGTTAGGTGACTCTTTTAGAGGAACAATACGAGTAATTCAACAAAAGCAACATGCTGACACAAAGGTGCCACGTGTATATGCGAATGGGCCGTTTGTCACTGCAGGTGCACAGTTTTCCGGTGCAGAGCATCGCGCGAGTTATCTATTTGCGCGCGGATGCGTCAGACCAACGGCAGAATGTGCGCTCGCTTGTTGTCCGCCAAGTTGAGACAAGAAGATGAGAGATGAGATCGTAAGAGAAAAAAGAAATGGGGGAGCTTTTTCACACCGCGATCCTTAGTTTTAGTGGAAAGGAACTGTTGCATTCACGCTGCTCAATTCGTTTGATTAGCGAACAAAAATAGTATTTAGATTTTTAAATTTAGAATAAAATATTTAGACACTAACACCCTGTCACGGCTCTCAGTCCTTTATTCCTTCAAACTGGTGTTCATCACATTTGAGCCATACGAATTTTATTAATTTACAAAAATTATGTTTTTTAATCGCAGCTAAAGCACACTAAAGTAATTATATGCAATTTACTATTTACATCTCTTTTAGTTTCTATCAATTTAATTTCATATTTTTATTTTACGGTATAATTTTATGTAGTTTGATTACATTTTTAATGTTCAAGATGATCCATAAGTGTTATTATTTTAGCAAACTGTATCTCTAGAAGAAAAAAATACAATGCAACAGTTCTAGTTGTATTTCAGGCAGTAACGTAATATTAAAAAATTGCAATATAAAACCAAAAGATATTCTTCGCGAAATAAATGTCGCGTCGAGCCTTCGTAAAAAAATTTATGAAAGCTCGATGCGCCCTTCGTGGAAGCATCGCGAGTCGCACTATTTCAAGATGAGTCGGTTCTTATGAGTTGTATTATCTCATTGTGTTGGACAAAGCAAACAGAGTCGAGAATAAAATGCAGGTGATTCGCGAAAGGATATAAAGATATGGCGCACGGCGAGATGCATCTTAGATATACATATATCGAGATAGACATGCTGAGAAGACAATATCCTTAGGGATAATCCTCGAGGATGTTGGATACGCGGCTGTTGTCGACATGCTGTCGACAGTCTGTTGTTAAGGGTTTATATGTATGTACGTGTTAGGAAACTTCAGACAGAAGATTTCTCTCTATCTCGCGCGAGAGAGATGATCTGCGCTGCGCATCTTTGACAAGTTGTTGCAACGTAATACGCCGCGAAACAACTTCATCTTCAACATGAAACCTCGTATCTTTATTTATTACATCCGATATAGCCAGCTTTTATCTCCTCCGTAAAGGTATTTGTATTAGCTGTTAATCCGTCAGCTTGTATCCGCTGTCTTTCAAGTCTTTTTTATTTTTTATCGAATATCATTTATTAAGTTTTTAGAGGTCGTCTTTCGATTAATAGTGTTAGAGAGACATTCACACACGCCGCGTGTGAAGGATATGGAGAGAGCGTGACAGTAACGTCGCGCAAGCGAAAGACTAGTTTCGTTGAAAAAATTAATTGGAAGTATTTTACATTTTCTAAAAATTGTTTTATAATATATATAGTACGAGAGGAAACCATAGTAAAGTTTAAGGTAGAAGAAAAATCAGATCATTCTTATTTATACTTGGGTGAATTATACTGTTGTATTATATAATTTATAATTTACAAAAATGATCCTTTTTCTTATTGCTTGAATATTTATGAAAGACGTGAAATCCTCAGGAAAAGGAGCAACTTATTTATAGACAATACCTGTTTGCCTTGACCGCATTGCTCATTGATGAGATGCGCCACCGTGATTAACATAATTCGCGCACGAGTGCTAAGAGAAGTGCACGTGCCATCATCTATTACGCAAGTTTTAAAATCCAAGCTACTTATACTCTTTTCTGCGCTCAATTAATTTCAACCTCTAATAAAATTTGTATTTTAACTATACTCGCTTGCGTTTATTAAAAATACAAGGCTATAAGCAAACATATGATATTCCAATTAAAATTATTGGAACACATTGTTTCCTTATTTAATGGACTTCGATCGAGCGCGTAAACAAAAATGTTTATTAAAGTTCGACGACAACCGTGCGCCCGATGCAAAGTGACGTTTCCAATTTTCGTCAGTGTAATTTTGTACCAAATGCATCGGCGATTGCAACTAGCACGACACGCAATGCATTACACAAAGTGGTTGCTTGCGTCAATAGTCGATTATTTGCTTTTGCCTTACCGCGTGTCGAGACGCGAGGGATGCGAGGTGGCGCCTTTGGATTCACAATGCGATTGATTGGACGGGAAACGTTTGCAAGCTCTTAAGCGTTGAATGGCCTCGTTATCGGCCACGGCAAAACAACTAGAAAAAAGGGGTCGAGAGAAAGAGAAAAGGCGATGGTGCGAAATGTAATGTAATGCAGCCGGAAGTTCGACTCGTCATCGAATGTTATAAGCGATTATCGTAAAGCCGCGAGTCATCAATTAAAAATCTTTCTCATTCGGAAATAGGTAAATATGCATAAAA